CAGTTTCAGGGACTGGAGCTTCTTCCGAGTCCATTCCAGGTGTCTGGTTGAAATGACTGGACAACTGGAAATGGCCCAAAATCGATATGGGGCTATGGCTGAGGTTTCCTTGAACCTGTCACTTACCTAAAGAAGTAGATTGGAGATACATTTTTCTTTCTTTCACTTTCCCTCCCTCCCTCCCTCCCTCCCTCCCTTCTTAAATGACTTATAATCATAGCACTGTGAAGTTGGAAGGAACCCTAAGGGACATCTAGTCCAACCCCTTTGCAATGCAGAAATCAACACTGAAGCATTCCTGACAGACGCCCATCCAACTTCTGCTTTAAAACCTCTATTGAAGGAGAGTCCACCACCTTCTAAGGGAGCCAGTTCCACTGTCAAACAGCTTTTACCATCATAAAGTTCTTCCTAATGCTTAACCAGAATCTCCTTTCTTGTCATTTGAATCCATTGGTTCGGGTCTTACTCTCTTGAGTAGCAGAAAACAAGCTGGAGCCATCTTCCCTTTGACAGCCCTTCCGATATTTGAAGATGGCTATCATATCACCTCTCTGTCCTCCAGTCCTAATCCACACCAGGGGTGATAAAAGTCATGCCTTCCGTCTGCTAGAGGAGGCCTAGTGGGGCTTCTTGCAAACAATAGCATCCTAATGTGGGCTGGGCATCTGGAAGCTGCTGTTTTAATTTCCCACAATCCCCCAGGTATTGCACTGCTCCAAGGCATTGTGGGAAATGCAAATAGCAGCTCCCTCTAGAACTACCTGCCTGCCACTGACTGGAGTACAGAAAACTGATGAAATGGGAGGCATAAGTTGGGGTCCAGACCAGTAATGCTGGAGCCCCCCAGTAACTGCCTGAGGGGGGGAATGGATGAGTCTGCCCATTTTTTGTTCCCCCCAGTTTCTCATTTCTCTGATCTTCAGTTCTTTGCATTACCTCCTCAGTGTGTAATTTTTAAAAATACTCAGGGAAATTCATCGGCATTTTAGTGCAAATTTATCCTAATATGCATTTTTCTGTGTGCAATTTTGCCCAGTATATAAACATTTCTGCAAGATCTTTCCCTTAACGCAATGCATTTCCCTTAACGCAATGCATACAAATCACATTTGTATGGACACTTTACCCCAGTATATGCATTTCTGAACATATTGCAGGGTCAGATAACTGTACTGAAAAATTCTGAGCATTGCAATTTTTTTAGGGGTGGCTGTGTTTTTGTTCTCGTATTGTTTCGGAAAGTGCAGATCATAGAGGCTCACCTTTAAATGTGAAATCAATCTAATCTATCCCCCTTCCCTACCTGAGTGCCTGAACATAGACAAGCCTTTCAAGATCTCTCGAGGCAACAGCTGTTGGTAAACTCATATCTTAACAAGCCTATAAGGATTTTGATTGTGGGATTAGAAGCAATCTCCTCCAGCCCCCACCTTTCATCCAGAATTAGCTTCTTAACAGACTCAGGAAGGCTCCAGACCTCATCTCAACAGCTTATTAACTAACATCCAAGCAAATGGCAGGTGATCTTTATGCTTTGCCGCTCAGGTGCAGAGATTAAAAGCAAGGACTTGGATATGCCTGGATGTTTCTCTCCCTCCTGTGCAGGCCTCCGAGACGTCAGAGAGTTATACAACTCAGCTCAAGAGGCATATGGAATGTAGGCTGGCCATCAAGGGAGCAGCAGCAGAGAATATTCAGAAGCTGTAATCCACTGTGACATTCCGGGGCTTAAATTTGAGCACCGAAGCGAAAGTAATGAATGAACAAAGCCTGATTCACACACACACACACACACACACACACAACACACACACACACACACCCTTTTGTTTCTCGAGTGGTAGAATGACAGCAAGATGTAAGCATGTGCAAGAATGGGCTGATGTTCTACCAGTGGAACATCACAACAGGGAGAACTGCATCCAGGAATGTGAGTGAAGTGGTTCTGTTGGCAAAGGGGAACGCACTGTCCCTTCTTCAAGTGCTAAGAAATTCAGGGCTGTCTGTCGACATCCAGTTTGCTTGGGGGGAGGAAGGGGGGAGAAGGACGGTGTCTTTGTTGTTGCTGCTGCTGCTGGCACCTGCCTGTCTCAAGAGACAACAGAGTTTGCATCTAGGGTGAAGTCAAACCGCTGGAGAATCACAGCACCTGCTGTGGCTGCAGAGACAGGTAACTCATAACTGCTGCCTCCCACATTGTTTCTGCAGCGTTAGCGGCACCAAAGTGAGCTCTCTGGGATGCAAGCCTGGGCAGTGTGTATGGAGGTCCTGGGATGCCCAGACGACAAGACCTGCCTCGCAGCCTCAGTGGTCAAAAGGAAAGCAGAACAATCTGTTTGGCACCAGCTTGGCTGCAGGAGTCGCTGGAAGGAGACCCGTCTAGTCCAGCATCCTGTTTTCACAGTGGCCAACCAGATGCACATGGGAAACCCAGCAAGCAAGCAGGATTTGAGTGCAACTTCACTCTCTCCCCCCTGTACCATTTCCAACAACTGGCATTCATGGGCACACTGCCTCTTGACAGTGAAAGTGGAACATAGCCTTCTCTTCTATGATTTTTTCTAATCCTCTAAGCCATCCAAATGATCTCATGCATAGATTCAGCATCCGTTCTGGCTGTGTAGAAACAAATACAATGAAAAAATGTACTGGGCCCCCTACAGTCCCCCTCAGGGCAAGGGTAGCCAACATGGTACCTTGCAGATGTTGTTTGACTCCAGCTCCCATAAACCTCAGCCACTATTGCTAACGGTCAGGGATAATGGGAACTGTAGTATGGCATACCTGGGAGATGCCATGGTGGTTGCATAGCCTAAGGTTACCAGTTTTTTTCCAATGAATCCAGGGACACTTTAATTAATTAACCGCCTTTCAGAGCAGCCCCATCCCAATTCCTACTTGTGTGCAAGCAGGAGGGGGCAGGGATCTCTCAGGCAGCGCAATGCCTTCCTTCCCATCGGAACTGCCCCAATCCCATTCCTACTTGCGTGCAAGCAGGAGGGGGCAGGGATCCCTCAGCTGGGAAGGGAGGCTTCCCTTTGCCTAACTGAGAAATCCCTGCCCCCTCCTGCTGGCAGCCAAGCTCTGATAAGCAGCATGAAGCCTCCATTCACAGCTGAGAGATCCCCACCTCGCTCCTGCTTGCACGCAAGTAGGAGTTGGGAGGCTGCTCTGAAAGGCAGCATGAAGCCTCCTTTCATAGCTTATTTGCTGGGGTCAGGGAAGGTGGAGGCAGCCTGGAAGCTGCATCTTAGAGCCCCTGCACCACCAACATATGGGGAGTTCCTGAAGCCAGCCAGAGTCAACTGCTCCGGGCTGCTGAGAGACTGCCGCTGCTGCATTTCCTGGGGACATTAGATGAAATCCGGGGACATTCCGGGGATGGAATTTGTCCGGGGACTTATTCACAAATCTGGGGACTGTCCCGGGAAACGGGGACATCTGGTAACCCTAGCCTAGCCTACCTTTTGGATTTGGGAGGATCATTGCACTTTTCTGCTGCTGCGGATTGCTTTGCAGAGAAAGAAATATTGGGTCTGGCTCACCTTGTGTTCAAAAAGCCCTCTCAAAATTATCCACCTTGTTTGCGGGCATGGACATGGGGAGGGGAGCATTTCACTGGATTTCTCAGGGTGGGGGAGAAATTCTCCAACTATTTCTGAGGGGCGAAGCTCAGGCTCTTCCTATTTCTTCTCTCTCTCTCTCTCTCTCTCTCTCTCTCTCTCTCTCCCCCTCTCCCCCACCCCTCTTATTTGCTGCTACTGCGGCAAACTGGCTTGGTAGCCAGGTCACTGCTTTGCATTCTCCACAATATCCTTTCTAGGTATTTGAGGGTGGGGGGTGGGAGTCACTATAACAAAAATAACATTTGAGAACATACAAAGATAATTCTGCAAAGTGGTTTTCATTTTCTATAGAGTGAGAAAAAGAAAAATGTCAGAAATTCTCAGAGGGGTCTTTATAGAAATTGTGGTTCACCTCTTGAACATGATGACAAAAACAGTGAGTCCCTGATTCAAATCCTCACCTCAGCTGCAAGCTCATAATGCAGCTGGGGAAGGACTAAAGCTCAGAGAAAGAGAGCATCTGCTTTGCATGCAGAAGGTTCAGTCTCCAGTATCTCTGGTTGGGTCTGAGAAGGACTCTTGAGTGAAATCCTGGAGAGCAGCTGCCAGTCAGTGTAGACAATACTGAGCTAGGTGGACCAAGAGTCTGGCTCAGTATAAGGCCGTTTCCAATGTTCCTGTGTTGCCTTAGAAAAAGCCGTCCTACTTATGTGATATATCTGTTGCAAATGCAGATACCTTAACAAAAATACACTGGCAGCCTATAATAAAAAGCAATGAGCTCCGTTCGCACTGCATGCCAATTTCACTGTTGTTTGTTTTTTAAGCCCTTCTGATAATTAAAGGGCAGATTATCAGAAGGTCAGCCCAGAGTTAAGTGTTAACCAAAACAGAGAACAGTGGTGGTGTGTATGAAAAATCACTCTTCATTTCCCCTGCAGGAGCTACGGACCAAGAAAACAACATCATCTGAGATCAGATTAAACATGTTGTTTTCACAGGCAGATCCCGATTGAGACACGGGAGGCAGCAATTCATTCCCCTTCTCCTTTCATTCATGAGCAGAGAGCCAGAAATGCCCTCTGAATGAAAGGTGAGCTTAGAAGCAAAAGGAAGAGGAGAGAAACAGCACAAAAGGCAGAAGGGACTTAGCCCAATTAGCCAGAGCATCTGCTCACACCACGCTCTTCCTGTGCAAGCATCTAACCTGGCCCTACAGCCGGTCCTAGCTGGATAGACTATGGTGGACATTTGACCTCAATAGAATCAGAGGAAGGATTAGCACCAAGGCACCCCCCCAAAAAAAAATCAGGGCCCAAGTGTTGTATCTGTTGGGGACTGCTCTCCTCCCAAGGAAGAATCATAGAATTGTAGACTTGGAAGGAACCACCAGGGTCTTCTAGTTCAACCGGCTGCAAGACATGAATGTTTTGCCCAACACTGGGGCTTGAACCCGTGACCTTGAGATGAAGGGTCTCATGCTCTACTGACTTAGCTACCCCAGCATTACTGGCAGCTGCTTCCTCATGATGCTTCCTCAGGTTTGATTCAGAAGGCACAAAAGCCTTGCCAGCGAACTCTCTCGCACACATAGGAAGTTGCCTTCCACAGAATCAGACCGCTGGTGCATCTAGCTCAGTATTGCTTAAGTTGATGGGTGACAGCTCTCCTGAGTTCAAGAGAGCACCTGGAGATGCTACAGACTGAACCTGGTGTCTTTTGTATGCAAAGCAGATCCTCTTCCACCCAGCTATGGCCCTCCTCCCTGAACTTGGCTTCTTGGAACCCAGTTGCATCTGCTTTTCATTTTAGAAAAAATCCCGAGGCGTAGATGGCAGCCATAAATTGCTAATAATGGTGGCCTCTTTGAAATGCTCTCCCCATTTCCCTCTCCTACCCCCAGGCAAACACACTCAACAGCTTCTGATCAAGCCAGCAGCAGTTGCTGTCTCGGAAACAAACAGATATTAAATAGTTTAGCACAGTGGGGATAAAAAAAGAAGAGCAACAACAACAGAACACCAGTTCTCTTTGCATCAGTGTCCTTCGCGCAACTGGTGGTATGAGAGCAGGCACATGGAAACATATACAAAGGGATGGGCAATCTGGGCAGACAATAAATATTTGTCATGATTAACAGAGAAGCCAATGACTGCCCCATTAGTGCTCAAGCTCAATTGTCCTCGCAGAGGAAAAAGCCAGAGCGGTGATCAGTCAGGATTAACTGTGTTATTAGGGATCAGCCACTAGGCAGCTTGCTTCCACATGATTCTGTATTTGCACTTGATGCGGCACACGGCAGTCCCGCTTGTGACATATTGGGGGAGATGGGGGCAGGCGGTGTCTCGCCTCCTGAGGCATTTATGGGGCAGGTCTCCAGGTTGCAATCCAGCAACCCTACCTCAGAGCGTACAGTCTCAGTCCAAAGGATTTAGCCCAGACACTTCCAGCTAAAGGTCCCTAGAGAACTTTGAACAGCCAGCATGTAATGCGAATGATCAATTGACTTCTTTTTCAGACACCACTTCCTTTGGATGAAAGTATCATCTCTTTTGTCTTTTTTTGCAGGAGGAGGATAGACTGACAGGAGGCTGAAGCAAGAAGTTCAACTCAGCTTGCATTTGAATGAGAAACCATCCAGTTCACACTTTTTGAATCAGCATGCAAATGGAAACACAGCCATCCTTCAAAATTCTCAGTTCTCCAAATTTTTTAGGTGCAGTTCCCCAAGCACACAATGTGTACACAGATCAGAGAATCATAAAATTGTTGGAAGGGACCCAAAGGGCCATCTAGTCCAACCCCCTGCAATGCAGGAATCTCAGCTAATGGATGTATGCATAAAATGCATGCCTGAGTGAATGTCCGAACATGCATTATATTGGAGAAAAATGCTTGTACAAATGTTTATATGAATCAAAACTGCATACAAACATGTTTACTCTGGGATAAATTCTCACTAAAATGCTGGTAATTTTTTCCTGAGGATTTTTAAAACAACAACAAATTGCTGTAGAAATGTGAAGAATGGAATTTAAGATTGGAAAACATGAGAAACTGAAGTTGACAGATTCATCCATCCCCAAGCCTCCCCCCCTGTCCCAAAACCCCCCTCCTGTTCCTTCCCCATGGCAGATCCTGTTCTCCACAGGCAGAATTCTTAATACCTGTTGGCCCCTTAGCAGGAAATTATCCGGCAAGAATAACCAAAGAACAAAGAGAACATTTAAGCATGCCAAAGCTGAGAAAGAAAGAAAGAAAGAAAGAAAGAAAGAAAGAAAGAAAGAAAGAAAGAAAGAAAACTACTCGGGAATAGAAATACCAAATAATGACACAAAAAAGAGACCTATCCCAAAATAGATGGATTTCTCAGACTTCAGCTGCTATTTAAAAGGCGACGGAGAATTGTGTGGGTGTTTGTGTTTACAAACAAAAGGATGCTGCTACTCTAAAAATACAGTCAGATTTATCCAAGCACAACTAACACTGCTAATAGAACAACTCACGCTAATGGGAAGAGTCAGCCCTGCTGAGGCAACACAACGGCGTTTATGTTGACATTAGTGGAGCGGTGCAGAAAAATGGCCCAGAGTACCTTGGCAGAGAGGCAGCAAAAGGGCTAATAAGAGGAGTAATAATTCCCTTGCTCTCTGAAAGCAGCTGAATGCAGGTTTGTTTTGTTTAAAGAAAAAGCAGATGGTACAGTCCTCCCAGGAGAGTACTGATTGCAGGTGGCTTTGTCAAGGAGAAAGGCAGGGTAGCAAGACCACCACCCTATCCATCAGCCCAACGAGGACCACAAGTGATTTGGTGCCTCCCCTCAAATAACTGTTTACAACCTCAGCTATTCCACCTACATTCATCAGAAGCAGAGGTCAGACAGAAAGGCCTGGCTGGGTCTGACTCCGGGATTAAATCAGTTCCTACATTTTCTAATTTCCCAGGGTTCCTAGGAGATCAGGGCACGTATCCGGTAGTGTCTAGGACCTGTCATGGGTGTTCCCCACCCCCTCACATTGTTGATGGGAGACTGAAGGATGGAAAGAGAAGTGGGAGCAGGAGCAGTGGCAGAGCAAGCCAATTGGGTGCCTGGGGCAGCGGGCATGCCCTGCAGCCAGGGGCGGGACCATCCATCCACGGGGCGGGGCGAGCCAGGGCAGGATGCTCCGCAGGGCTTCTGAGGAGTCTGCCTGCCTCCTCCCACTCAGCCGCCCTACAGCTGAGGGGGAGGCAGCGGGCGGACCGTTTGGGGCAGCAAGGAGCCTGCAGGCACCCAAGCCACTGTGTCACTCTCAGGAGAGATGCATGGCTCAGGCGTGCTGTAGGCCCCGCAGTGAGTGCCACCACTCCACTCAGTGGTGACACCCAGGGCAGCCTGCCCCCACTGCACCCCCTTCCTCCACCCCTGAGCAGGAGGAAAGACTTGTGGCAAAATGCATCTCCTTTACGTATTTTTCCTGAACTCTGAAGGGTTTTGATCTGTAATGGGCTCAAGGGACTAAGGCTGTATAGCACCATACATTTAAAGCACCTCACTCACTCACTCACTCACTCACTCACTCACTCTCACTCTTCGTTTCTCTCTTTGAGCTATAGTTTAACACACACACACACACACAGAGAGAGAGAGAGAGAGAGAGAGTGTGCTACAATTCCCAGCACCTTTAAACTACAATTCCTAGAATTCTTTAGGGATGTCTTATGCTTAAAACGGGATGCAGGTGGCGCTGTGGGTTAAACCACAGAGCCTAGGGCTTGCCGATCAGAAGGTCGGCGGTTCAAATCCCTGCGATGGGGTGAGCTCCCGTTGCTCGGTCCCTGCTCCTGCCAACCTAGCAGTTCAAAAGCACATCAAAGTGCAAGTAGATAAATAGGTACTGCTCTGGCGGGAAGGTAAACAGCGTTTCCGTGCGCTGCTCCGGTTTGCCAAAAACGGCTTAGTTATGCTGGCCACATGACCTGGAAGCTGTACACTGGCTCCCTCGGCCAATAAAACGAGATGAGCACCGCCTATACAGTCTATACAGCCTCAGAAAAAATTATTTCCAAATGCATGCCATTCCCAAAATTTTTCAACCTTGCCTAAGGAAGGTTCTGTTGGCCTTTGTTTCAGTTTCTCTGGATATTATTATATTTAATTTTGAGACGGAGAGACCAGATTTGCACAAAGTATTATAAACATGGGCCCACAGTGGAGCTACAACACTACAGATGCAACATTAGAGATTGATCTTTTGAGAGCTTTAAGGGTACTGGAATTATGCCCCATACTTATTGCATTTTCTGCAGGAAGCATATAAAGTATAGATGGAATATACTTGCTATATAAGGAGATGGAGACCTCGGCCTAACAGGGCCTTTGAATCTGCAAACAAGGGGGATTAAAGGTGTCTGTTCATGTGTTTGTTTGTTTGTTTTTTGTTCCTCAGGGAAACAGCCATGTGAAACAACTGAAATGGTCCTGAACCCGATTCTCCGCTTGTCTTTTGTAGCAAAGCAGATGAGGCAACAAACAAACCCAAGAGTACAATTTTTTTACCTTATAAAAATAATAAATATTTTAAATATTTAATGCTGTATTGTTTTTAACACTTGATTGGAAGCCGCCCAGAGTGGCTGGGGAAACTCAGCCAGATGGGCAGAGTATAAATAATAAATTATTATTATTACCTTCTTGAAATCATGCTTGTTGCCAAGTTTCCCAGAGGGCGTCATGGTGGTCACTGTGAAATTATTTGGGTCTTCGCAGTCGCGGATTTTGGATTCCTTGATCAGAGAGTCCAGCTTCTTCTTTGCAATGTTCTCCACTCGCTTCCGATTGGTCGAGGCCTGCAGGTAAGAAAGGGGAGGCTGGGGGTTAAGACACACAGGAGAGCTGGACACTTGGATTCTAGCCCAAAGCCTACTAAAACGTTACAGAAACGTTAAATGAAAAGGAAACAGACTACGGCAAGCTCTACATTTGCTCAAAATAAACTACATGCCAAGACTGGATTGGTAGTCTCATGGGACATATCCGCACTACAAACAGATGCTGGTTTTACACAATCATTGCTTCCCCCAAGGAATCCTGGGAAATATTGTTTGGCTGAAGGTGCTGAGAACCCTCTGTTTGAGATCCCCAGCCCTCCTTCCCAGGGAATGACTGCTAACTCAGTTTGAGTCTGCAGGATGGATATAGCCCCATGATTTCTACACTGGGCAGCAAAGTTATCATTCTAGTCTTCTTTGCTAGAATGATAGAATTCTTCTTGATACCCAGGAGAGGTATTCTGAAGTGCCCTCAACAAGACAAATTCCTTTGGTGGAAAAGTGCCTCGAATGTGTTGTCTGTGATCAAACAGAGTGATGTTGTTGAAAGGAAAAGCGAAAAGCACATATTTTTAAGAATACTTTGCAAAACTGAAAAGGAACCAAAAAAAAAAAAAGGTGGAGGGAGGAAACTACTGTTAGCAACAAGAACAACTTTGACGAGACATGCTTTGTTACCAAGCCACTAGCGTTC